CCCCCCCATACGGAGCCACGAGTTATATCTACAACTTCCTCTTATCCTAATTTTATCGTACGACCAACTCTAAATTTCAACCTTTATAGCTTCTAAACAAGTCGATAAGTCGTTCCAATTGTCCAAAGCGAAAACGAATCTTCCTTTTCCTCCTTCCCCCCTCCCAACAACTGTGAATTTTCATCCCTCTTTTCCCCCTCGATCCTCGGATAGGATCGCCTGTAGGACCATCTCTATTCCGCAGGGGCCGTCTCTCCTTTTCACGGTTAACGGGGTTCCACCTGGTGACAGGGAACGAGGGATGAAAAACGCGTTTAGGGTTGGGATTTCAACCGTTCGAAGGTTCGAACAGGAGGGAAAACTAATATCCTGAAATAGTTTCCGCTATGGCAATTGTTACGATTGTTATTCCGTTCTATCATGCATCATATCCCTTATATCCATACACAAACACGCGGCCAACCGTAGCTACACCGTAGAGAAGAGATACGAGAAAGAGAGAGATACATATATATATATATATATATAACCCATACTCACCGATCTTCTTCGACTCCAAGTTTCTGCCATCCTTAACGGATCGCGTGTTCCATCCATAACTCTACTTCTCTCTCTCTCTCCTTCTCTCACTCTCTCTCTCTCTCTCGTCCATACCGCATTCTAATTCAGCGCACAGCGCCGTTGCCAAGAAACCGTAACTCGTTGATCGATGTTGTCGTATGCAAATTGTATCGTAAAAATTCGTTCTTGTCGTCGAGAATCATCCGAAAAATAGTTGGATCCATCCGTTCCACGATCCTTATTTCTTTTTCCCTCTCTCTATCTCTCTTTCTCTCTCTATCCTTCTCCCCTTGCACGTTGATCAATCACCACATAGTGCTCCCTCCCCTTCTCTCTCTCTCTCACGTTCTCTCTGTCTCTCTCGCTCTTTCTCTTTCTCTCTCTTTCTCTCTCTCTGTTACAGCGTTGGCCAGTGGTGTCTCACTGGGGAAGAGAGAGGGGGTTGCGCCCCGCAAGGTCAGAGTTCCAGC